GCATTCATAATTTCAGTTTTTTAGTCTATTTAGTTTTTTCTTGTCTCTGCTAAGGGTTAGGTTTGGAAAATTATATTTTTCTAGAAAATCACCCATTTCATTCAGACTTTCAAATTTCTTTACATAGAGTTGAGATAAGAAGTCTTACCTTTTTTTCCAAATTTTATCTATTTTTGTGCTTTTTCTGGTGTGTGTGTCTGTGTGTGTGTGTGTGTGTGTGTGTGTGTGTGTGCTTTTGCACTCCTTTTAAAATTACATTGTCTTGTGCTTTATTTTCCAAAGAATCGACTCTTGGATTTTAATTTATTAGCATCTACTGTTTTTCTGTTTTCTAACTCAGATTCTGCTCAGGTGGTTTTAAATTTCCTCTGCTTATTTTTGTTCTTTGTAAACTTTTGGTTGAATGCTTATATTATTAGCCTTTTTTTTTTTCATTTTTTTATTGAAATAACTAAGGCTCTGAGCATTGCTTTAGGTGAATTCCATAGGATATATATTTTATATGGATGTATGTGGTCTATACATATATGTGTGGGTGTGCATATGTATGTGTACTTGTGTATATATATTCAGTATGTATATGAATATACACATATTTGATGTGGTTATGCAAATAAATTGAAAGAGGACAGAAACGAATGTAAGGAACCCACTTAGAACACAAATGAGAATATTATAATGGTTCACATGAGAAATTTTTATGGCCTGAATTGAAATCATAGTAGTAGAAATGCAAAGAAGAGCATACAGTAAGATTGGAAATGAAATGTATGAGAAAGGGAAAATAAATAACGTAGAATAACTAGCAGCTTTGTGGTTTGGGTAGCTGGTAGATAAAGGTGGGTTCACTGATTTAGGGCTTATGCTCAGGATGGAATAATGGAAGAATAGATTTGCAGTAGAAAGGTGAGTTCAGATATAGACATGTTTGCATTAAATCCAGGTACAGATACCTTATTAAAAATCAGATAATCAAGTCAGGAGCTCAGGAAAGCAAAGGAAGCTAGAGATTTGGCAGGGGGCGGAGGGTGCCTGGGAAAGGGTTGATTTTATGGTTTCACTCAGGTGATCTAGGATAGTATCTCTATGACCTAGAGATAATAGGTCAAAAGATGCATTATTCAAGGTTTACATTTTTTTTTGATATATATTTTATTGCATTTTAGGTTTTGGCGTACATGTGAAGAACATGCAGGATTGTTGCATAGGTACATACATGGCAATGTGGTTTGCTGCCTTCCTCCCCATCACCTGTGTCTGGCATTTCTCCCTTACAGAACTTTCCTCCTCCTTTCCTTCCTTCCTTCCTTTTTTTTTTTGGGGGGGGGGGAGGAGATTAAATCTTGCTCTGTCACCCAAGCTGGAGTGCAATGGTGCTATCTTGGCTTACTGCAACCTTCGCCTCCCAGGTTCAAGTGATTCTCCTGCCTCAGCCTCCTGAGTAGCTGGGATTACAGATGTACACTACCATGCCTGGCTAAGCTTTGTATTTTTAGTAGAGACAGTGTTTTGCCGTGTTGGCCAGGCTGGCCTTGAACTGCTGATCTCAAGTGATCCTCTCGCCTTGGCCTCATAAAGTACTGGGATTACAGGCATGAGCCACCACACCTGGCCTAGAACTTTCTTTTCTATTTTTTTCTTTTTCTCTCTTTTTTTTTTTTTTTTTTGAGACGGAGTCTCGCTCTGTCGCCCAGGCTGGAGTGCAGTGGCACGATCTTGGCTCACTGCAACCTCCACCTCTTGGGTTCAAGTGATTCTCCTACCTCAGCCTCTGGAGTAGCTGGGACTACCAGCGTGCGCCACCATGCCTGGCTAATTTTTGTATTTTTAGTATAGACGGGGTTTTGCCATGTTGGCCAGGCTGGTCTTGAACTCCTGACCTCAAGTGATCTACCTACCTCAGCCTCCCAAAGTGCTGGGATTACAGGTGTGAGCCACCGTACTTGGCTGCACTTTCTTTATACAACTAATTTTGTTTTCATTTTGATGATAAATTAAAAATAAATTAATATAAGCATATTCTGGGTTTTCTGAATGACTACCATACTATACAGATTTTAGTGCCAGTATTGTGTTTATATGGTTGCTAAGTGATCATTTACAGACCACATGTATGATAAATTTGCTGTATTGGAACTTATATCAGGTTAATGTGTATTAATGTAAAACTAAGAAAACCACCTTCAACATTTGTACTCATACTGAATTGTTTTGCCATTAAAAATGTCTTTTATAGTAATAACTACAGATGAAAGCTGTTTTCATAGAACTTCCTGAGAAACAAATCTTATAAAGAAACTCTTAAACTTATGAAGAAATTTTAATTGTCACAGACTGATTAAAGAAAATAGGACTTATATGTAGAGTATGTGTTCAGGCCAACTGAAGCTTTATAAGATGTCATGGTTCCCTCTGAACAAAGTATTTCATGGAACCTTGGAGAGAGAAAAGTGATGAAGTGATGGGAGAGCGACTGATCATGTGGCTCACTCATAGGTGTGGGTGTAGGGGTGTTTGTGTGTGTGTGTACATGTATAAATGTATTTTTGTGAGCATCATGCTGCTTGAATCTCCATTTATCTCTGTAAATATCAACCTGTAACATTTATTAGTGGTAAGCACTGTGGCATTTTTATTGAATATTAATTTTTTAATTTTTATGTTGATATACACATACATTGTGAAATGATTACTATTATCAAGCTATAGTCACCATCCCGTACATTAGATCCCCAGAACTTGTTCGTCTTAGGGTGGCTGAACTTTGTACCTTTTAACTAACCTTTCCCTATTTCTTCCAACCCCTGAGCCCCTGGCAACTACCATTCTGTTCTCTGCTTCTGAGTTTGACTTTTTTAGATTCCACATGTAAGTGAGATCATGCAGAATTTGGCTTTTTGGGCCTGGCTTATTTCATTTAGTGTAATGCCCCCCAGCTTCATCCATATTGTTGCAAATGACAGAATTTCCTTTTTTTTTAAAGGCTGAATTTATTCCATTTTATTTATATACCACATATTCTTTATCCATTCATCCCTCGATGGGCACTTAGGTTGATTCCATATCTTTTACTGTTATGAATAGTGCTGCAGGGAACATGAGAGTGCAGATACCTCTTTGAGATACTGATTTCATTTCCTTAGGATCTATACCCAGAAGTGGGATTGTTGGATCATATGGTAATTACGTTTTAATTTTTAAGGAACTTCCATACTGTTTTCCATAATGGTTGTACTAATTCATACTCCTATCAACCAACAATGTACAAGTGTTCTCTTTTCTCCACATCTTTGCCAACAGTTATCATTTATCTTTTTGATAGTAGTCATCCTAAGAAGTATGAATATTATCTTATTTTGGTTTTGATTTGTGTTTTTCTGATGATCAGTGATGTTGAGAATTTTTTCATATACTAGCTGGCCATTTATATGTCTTTTGAGAAATATCTATTCAGGTCCTTTGCTCGTTTTCTAAAATTGGATTGTTGTCTTGCTATTGAGTTGAGCTCCTTACTTATTTTGGATACTAACCCCTAATCAGGTGTATGGTTACACATATTTTCTCCCACAGTTTACCTCTTCACTGCATTGCTTCTTTTGCTGTGCTAAAATGCATTTTGTGTAACAGTTTTACACATCAAAGATTTTAAACAGATAAATAATCTGTAATACAACTGAAATTAGAAACAATAATAACCTAAGTGCTTTTTAAAATAAGGGCATCTATTGAATTGTAGTTAAGTTTGACTTTCTAGTCTTATTTGGTGACCTGGTATCTTATTAATGAAGATGTGCATTCTGCAGATCCTCGGAGTTTAGCTACATGTTGAACATAGAGGGTTGAATAATGTATGACCTGTAGTAGACTCAGATTCCCCTTTAAAGAAGGGTTTACTGCCTAGCTGTGAGAAATGTGAGATCCTGCAGGCCTCTCTTCCCCCGCCCTTGTGTTCCCCCCCAACCCCCCACTTTCCCGCCTTAGAGTCTGCCTCAGCTCTAGAGACATTTCCCTCTCCTCATGTCACAAACTCCCTGTATGCATTTCCAGACAGAGTAAGGCAGAGGTATTAAAGACCTGGCCATTTCAGCCCATCACAGAGCACTCTGATGGACAGTGTTTGCTTTAGAATGTCCTGTATGGTTGGCTGAAGTTATGTTGGGCTTGCATCACAGTTTGAGTTCTGCCCAAAACTGATTTCTCTACCTTCCATTCACAGATGTTGATCCCTAATGAACATTTGTACCCCAGATACCATATTACCTCAGCTTCGGAGAAACCAGGCTGCAATAGCTCCTGATAGCATGGAACTAGTTTAATGGAAGGAAATATACATCAAACAAATTCAAAATGCGATCAACGTTATGTAGAAGCATAGGGTGCCATGGTAGTGTGTTATGGAAAGGACCAAAGGACCAATACCTGGCTAATTATACTGTTTGGGGAGGTAGCCTAGACTAGTAGTCAGAATATGAACCTTGGACATACTGCTTTCTTTCTCCAGGCCAGTTTCCTCATTTGTAATATGGGAATGACACATATTCTGTCATCTTTAGAAGACTAGCCTGGGATTGCTCATGTGGTTAGGGAAAGATTCCCAGCGGTAAGAGGAAGCAGTGCACATTTTTTAAGCCTCTGTTTGTGTTGGTTTGCTGATGTTCCACTGGCCAAAGCAGTTTACATGGCCAAGCTGTGATTCAAGGATAAAGAAGTAGACTTGTATTTATGTTTGCATTTACACACACACACACACACACACACACAGCCTAAAAATTGCCAAACAAAATGTCTGTTACATAATAGTAGTAAAAATTTATTAAGTACTTTTTGTAAATAATGCTTACTAAGAGTCAGCTGGACTATTATTTAATATGTTCTATCTCACTATGAATGAAAAAGAAGAAACGCTTTTAAATAATTTGATATATTTGACATCTTAAAATCATTTTAATGATAGCACTTTGCACACAAAGTAAAGCTCTCTCTCTCTTTTTCCTCTACAGTAAGAAAAGTGGAAAACCACCATTACAGAACAATGAGGTAAAATTTTAAATCATCTTCTTTTTTGGATTTCATGCATTTATTTCATTAATTTTGTTATATGATTTTGATTTAGGATAAAATTTTATTAGTAGAGAACTTAAAAATACCTCCAGCCTTCTACATATTACAGGAAGTCTTTCTGAAATAGGACTCCTGACAAGTATCTTCTAGTATTTACTTGAAACTGTTTATTCAGTGGAAAGTGTTGCTCTGGGAGGCACCCTTAACTGCATTAGTTCTAGCCCATGATGACATTAATTTCCCCCCTTCTAGCTTCTTAGCAGTGACTGTTAACATCTTTTGTATTGGGATCCTGCCTCCCTCCCTCTTTCTCCTTCCCCTTACCTTCTCCCTTTCCTTCGTTTCTTTTCCCGTCCCCTCCCCTCCCCTCCCCTTCTCTCTCCTCCCCTCCCCTTCTCTCTCCTCCCCTCCCCTTCCCTCTTCTCCCTTTCCCTCTTCTCTCCTCCCCTCTTCTCCCCTCCTTTCTTCTCCATTCTCTTTTATCTCTTACTTTTTCTTTAAAATTGTCTTTTTACTGACCAGGTCTCATTCTGTCATCCAGGCTGGAGTGCGGTGGTATGATTATAGTTCTGTGTAATGTCTGCCTCCTGGGCTCTAGGGATCCTCCTGCCTCAGCCTCTGAAGTAGCTGGGACTGTGACTATAGGTGTGAGGCACGTTGCCTGGATGTTTTCTCTAGTAGACCCACATATATTTGAAGATAGGTGTATCTTATGAGTATTTGCTTGTTCTAAGCAAGCTTGATTCCTTTAAATATGTCTCATGTGACATGCATTCTGATCCTGTTTCAGTTCTGTATGCATTCCTTTGGACTTAAGGCATTGTGCTTAGAAAGGAATGTAGTTGTCCGGATGTGGCCTGACTAGCATGGAATATGTCAGCCTGATTACATTCCTTGATATGAATATGATGTTGCTAAAATTCATCCTGAAATTGCTTTTATTTCTTTCAGCATAACTATTTTTTACATTAAGTGGAGTTTATGGTAAATTATAAACTTCAGGTGTCTTTCTGACAAACAGCTCTATACCTCTGCTTGTTATATTTATCAGTTGATTTATTTCTTTGTTTAATGGTAACTTTATTGCGATATAATTGATACCCCATAAAATTTATCCATTTAACTATATAAATGAGTAGTTAGTATAGTCACAGAATTGTGTGGCTATCACCACTACATAATTTTAGAAAATCTTCATCTCTCCAAAAAATCCTATACCCATTAGCAGTCACTCCTTATTACCATCTTCCCCCAATCCCTGGCAACCACAAATCTGTTTCTGTCTCTATTGATTTACCTGTTCTGGACATTTCAAATAAATGAAAGCATATAATATGCCTAGCTTCTATCACACAGCACAATGTTTTCAAGTTTCATCATGTTGTTGTTGTATCAGTATTGCATTCCTTTTATTGCTGAATAGTGTTTTTTGTGTATATATATATATATATATATATATATATATACACCACATTATGTTTATCAGTTCATTGGTTGGTGGATGTTGAGGTTGTTTCTATTTTTTGGCTATTATGAATAATAATGCTGCTATGAAAATTTGTACACAAGTTTTTAGATAGAGATATGCTTTTATTTCTCTTGGGTGTATACCTAGAAGTGGAATTGCTGAGTCATATGTTAACTCAGTTGATTTCCTTTAGATAAACATTAATTTATTGCTGTAAATGTCAGTTTATTAGGTTTAATCCATTGTCTATACCATTAGTCTAATTTTTAGTGCATTTCTCACATCTGATATGTTAAATAGAAGAATTATCTAGAAATTTAATTTGCCTTTCCTTTCTTTCACATGCTGGTAGTATTCACTATGTAAGGGCCAAGGAGATTGCTCTGTGGCATCTCTTAGTCTTTGTTTTTGGTTATTCAGCTATGAATACATCCAACTGCAACAAAATCTGGTTCATACTTCTCCATTAAGGCCACAATAATTTTATAGGAGACATCTAACTTCTTTATTAATTTATTAATTCATTTAGTAAGTCAATCTTTCAATAAATATTTATTGAGCTCCTCATATATGCCTGGTATTGTTTTTGGCTCTAGGTATATGACAGTTATAAAAATAAGTTTCCACCCTCATAGAGCTTACATTCTACTTGTCAGCTAGTATGCTAGTATGGTATCCTTAACAAAGAAGAAAATTAGAATAGTTTAACATGATGTACTTTTAGTAAACTCATGCTGGCTTCCAGTGATTAGTGTCTCTCAAGTCTTCCCCAGCTCTCCATGTCAGTGTCTGTTCTCTGAATATCCTGGTGATTGACATCAAGATTGTTGTTCTTTAGTTTCCATAGCATTTCCTTCCCAGTATTTGAAAAATATGATAAGATGTGCTTATGTCCACTTTTCTGATATATCTCCAGCACCATGATCTCTCGTATCTAAGTTATAGCTGAGTAATGAAGTCTTAGTTATCTTATCTTACTCATATCTCTTATTTGCAAATCATATCTGCAAGTTTCAGGACAGCTAGATTCATTTCACTCATTTTTCTTCTCATTTTTCTGTACAATATTGTTTTAGCATATACTTATCTGCTGGTTGCATAGTATGAGCAAGATAAATTTAGTTTATATTAAGTAATTGGCAATAAAAAGGACACAAGATGCACACTGATACCACATTTGCTAAATTTATAGGAAGTGCACACATGCACACCTATGTGCTAAAATGAACTCTAATAGGATATGTAACAAAGACAGTAGGTTTAGTTTTCTCATTTTTGGTCATCAGATTTTTCTAATATGTCTACAGTGAATATGTTATGAGGAAGGCAATTTAACACATTTTTTTCATAGAAATATTTTATATCCTTTGTGATGGGGGTGGGGTAGGGAGAGGCAATTTTCATAAGACATGAAGTTTAAGGAGAAAAAAAGATTTATTTAGAAAGTTAGGGAGCAATATAATGAAGTTCAAAATGTATAAAGATAAGTACTGTACTGGGTTCAGTAGCACTCCCATGCATATTTTTGTATTTTGTATAGGTGTGTGTATCCACAAGCAATATACGTAGAATTACTTTACATATTTGAAAGTTTCATAAATTCATGTGTAAAATGAATTGCATGTATCATTCTAATTTTTTCCAGCATACTGTTTTTTTAGATCAATTTAAAGCTGTAGACCTACTTAATTTAACTGCTCTTTCATATTCTGTTTGTATGTATGTGAGCTGCTTTCTTTTTTAGAGTTGTATAGAATTTTCATTGAACAATTTTGTTATGATTTATGTAATATTGGTGCACATTTAGGTTGTTTTTAATTTTATGGTATTATAAACAGAGTACGATGTTTTTATTTGTGTGGCCAAACATATGTACAGGTGTATCTGTAGGGTAGGTTCCTGAAAGTAAATTTGCTGGGTTATTTTACATTTTACACTTAGTGTACATTTTACATTTTGATAAATGATATATAATAGTTGTACCAGTTTTCACTTTTCCCTACAATATACAGGAATACTTTACTCTGTCAGCACTACATGGCTTCTTATTTTACTGCTATTTCAAACATCTTTTTCAGTAAATCTCACCGAAGATAATTGACATCAATAGGAATTTCTCATTGTACTTTGACTTTGTTACCGCTTGAATTTTAGGTATTTTTTTTCCTCGTTGCATTATTACTTTGACTTCTCAAATAGCTTTTAATGATTTGTTTGCTTTTTCTATAATGTTCATGTTAAACTTATGTCACCACAGTGGTCTTTTTATTTGTATTTAAAAAAAAATTACTGGGAAGTTTAGAAGTGAGAAAAGTTCATGGTGAATTTAAAATGAATTCCAGTAATGTTATGAAATGTACTGCCTCTATAGTTATCCTTATTTAGATAGGTTTCAGGTAGAGTTTTGCTGTGATCAAGATAGTCCAGTATTCCTGACATATCTTTGAATTCAGCCCTTCTGAGCCAGGTGCTCCCCCACCCCTCAGGTGGTCCTTTGCAAAAAACAGTGATGACTTTTGGAAGAATATGGTTCTCTTCATGGATTGAAATGTAATGAAAATCTGTTAGCTTTCAGTCAGTTAAGGATAGTGACAACAGGGACAGAAGAAAATGAAGAATTTTATACCAATTAGCAACTAATATTTTAGTGTTTGAACATTACTGTCTTGTAACTCTTTTTTTTCTAACCTTCATTGTTTGTTTTAATCATTTCCTTAGAGTAGCTAGAAACAGGTGGTCCTCTATTTAACTCAGATGTCCATTTCACCTCAGGATTGTGCCACTTAAGGTTCCAGCTAGGAATGGAGAAGGGTGTTGACTACAGGTAAGGCAAGGTGAAGTGAGGAGGGAGTGGTGATGGTGACAGGAGGAAAAACAAGTAGAGGTTTAACTTCTTTCTTTTAAAGGTAATTAATATGGATCACCTTCTCTTTACTCTTTTCTTCCTATGTTTTCTGGGTTTGGGGAAAATACGAAAGGAGATTAGGTTACATGTGTAAGATTTAGCTTGAGGAGAATAGGCTAGTTCAACTAAATGGACTGAGAGTAGAGCTTTTTCTCTATTTTGTTTGCTGTTGTGTCCTTATCATTTAGAATAGAGTTTGGATCAAGTAGTTGTTTGTTGAATGAATGAATGAAAGAATGCATGTATGAATTAATTATAGGCCGAGTTATAGGCTCAGTAGACTGAGCCTATAACTCAGTAGGATGAGGTTTGCAACTTTGTTTGAAAGACGTGAAATGCCGAGTGTGTGTTCCAGCAGTTGCAGGGTAAGTTGATTCTTTACCAGTTCTTTCTATTGTAGTCTTTCTAGTCTAATCCTATAAACACAGTGCCTTCAGACTTCCTTTCATGGTCTACAGTTCTGTACAAAACTCAGTGCCTATTTATTAGGATTATATCTATAAAGCACTTAGCACAATGTCTCACATATAGTTGGTAGTTATTATTCTAATTCAGTAGCCAAACAGTTCACCTGGCTCATCAAGTTATTTATTTAATCAAAGCATATTTACATTATATTTAACTAATAGAGTTACTCTACAAGTACAGGCATTTGTTTGTCAGGAGCACAGTAGTTAATCAGGGGATTGGGGTTTTTCTGGAGTGTCTTGCCTTTTCCAAGAAGTTTCACCTGTCTGTTCTCCCAAACATTGCAAGAGTAATAAGTAACTAGCCTCTACTATAGGATAGTTTTGCCACTTCTTTCCTTATCTTTGCAAATGGTTTAGTACTTCCATTTTCATGCAGCTGGTGAAAATGAAAAAACTCTTCAGAGAGGTAAGATTATCTTTTAAATCCCTCTACACTGACAATAAGCTCTCTAGCCTTACTGTGGCTTCAAGGTTCCCTCCTTTATAAGCCCTGCCTACCTTTTCAACTTCTCTCATTCTTGTTCCCTTTGCTATAGCAATAGTGTCATCTTGCTGTGAAATGTGGACAGCTATTTTATTTCCAATACTGGATTTTTGTACTTGATATTCCTTGTGCTTCACTTCCTCCACCCTGCGACCCACCTTAAAAAATCACATGCCTTCACTTTATTTATGTCTAAGCTTAAATGTCAAGAGGCTTTTCAGACCATCCTGTCTGAACTGTTCTTTTTTCCCTCATGACCCTGCCTAGTCTATCTGTAATAATTTATTTATTGGTTTATTTTTTGTCTATGTTTCTCCTGCTAGTATGTGAGCTGTATGAGTGAAAGAAACTTGTCTGTCTTTGAATTTCATGAGGAAGAGAGAATGAACTGACAGATTGTATATTGGAAATGTGAAATGGTAAATCTAGGAATCCAGAAGTTTCCTGTATTTAATATCAGGGAAAATTCTGTTCAGGATTTTTTTTTTTTTTTTTAAATATGGTGTTAATCAGGAAGTGGCTAATACAACACTCAGCAAGTCCTCGACATTTTTTTCAGCTATCTTTCTGACAGCATCCTCTGTGATGGTACCTTCCTCACAGCTCCAGCCAGGTTGGCCATATTGTTCTTCCTCAGGCACATTACAGGCTTTCACGTTGGTATTTTTCAGTTGCTACTTCTTCTGTTTGTAGTTTTCTTCACCCAGATAATTATGTGGCCCAGAACTCAATTCCTTATTCAGTTTTTAGACAACATTATTTTCTCAAAAACATGTTTGAATATGACTAGCAGTGTAAGTATGCAAGTCTGTGTTCTGTAAATTTATTTATCTTGATAGCTGCTTATATTTGACTTAGAGGAAACATGATTCTTTAATTTTATTATAAATTTGTTATAGCTATCTTAAAAGGCCTTTTTTTTTTTTTTTTTTTTTTTTTTAAATGTAGAAAGAGGGGAAAAAAGAGCGAGCTGTGGTGGACAAGGTGTTTTTCTCAAGGCTCACCCAGATTCTGAAAATCATGGTCCCTAGAACATTTTGCAAAGAGGTAAGTCCTATGAAATTATAATGTTAAATATATTGGACCGTTCTTGCATTAAATACCTGAGGCTGGGTAATTGATAAAGAAAAGAGATTTAATTGGCTCATGGTTCTGCAGGCTGTACAAGCATGGCACAGCATCTCCTCCACTTCCAGGGATACCTCAGGAACCTTGCAATTACAGCGGAAGGTGAAGGGTGAAGCCAGTGTCTTACATGGTGAGCGAGGGAGCAAAGGGCTGAGGAGGTGCCACATACTTTTAAACAACCAGATACATGAGAACTCACTCACTATCTGGAGGACAGCACCACGCCATGAGGGAGCCACCTCCATGACCCAGACACCTTCCACCAGGCCCCACCTTCCAACACTGGATATTATATTTCAACATGAGATTTGGGTGGAAACAGATACCCAGATTATATCATGAAATGTTCAACTTTCGAGGTTGCATAAGATTAGAACAATAAAATCATAACACTTCAGTTATACTGTAGGTCAAATGTTCTCTCTGTAGGTAAAGAAGACTACTAAATTTTTGTCTTTAAATCATCACCTGTCACACAAAAACCCTTGTTCAGTGCGAGTTTTTAAATAGTTTACTCTTGTTTAGGACGTATCATTTCATTTTATTTTATATGAAATACTAGGGTACTGACATGCAGCTACCCCAAATGGTGTTGCTTTGTTGTAGTTAATACTGTTAATAAAAATAAGATTAAATTTCAAAAGACAAAACTTTTTATTATATAAGATGTTAGCAAGTCACATTAGTGTGGAATATATTTGATTAAATGTTTTTTAGATACCCAAAATGATATCTGGATTCATCAGGTATTTCAGGAAGTGAGCTGCTTATATGAATAAAGTTTTATAAGTAATTCCTTTGCTCTTTTATCAAGATTATCTTTATAAACATTTTTAATAATTATTAAAATAATGCTGTGTTCTCAATCTTCCTCAGCATTCTCTCATTCTGTAACTAGAAATAACATTACCTTCAACTCTTTCTCTTTCCCTTGTCACCCTTTTTGGACACTGGGATCTGCTAATTTTTCCTGTACTTAACTGTTACAAAAGCATTGCATTTCCCAACAACAACGTCCGTTCCTCCATCATGCTGAATTTGCTCTTCTCTTCCTTACCTTGGCATCATGTCCTGATGATTCTGCCCTTGAGAAATTCTTTTAAAAAAAGTAATAGCACTTGTTTTTTTCCTAATTAGACAGACAATACATGTTCCTTGAAGAAAATTAGAAAATGCAGCTACATTTTTTTTTTTTCTTTTTGGCACCAATCAGCCTCTTACTCATTTTGATATATAGTCATCTTGTGTGTAAGCATATATTTTAATTTAAAAATGGGGTCACACACTTTTAAGATCTGCTGCTTCCCTTATATTATAAATGTTCTAAGTGTCCTGAAGTTTCTCATAAATTAGTCTCTCCCTTTGCATTCCTACTGTTCTCACTATCTCTTACCTAGATTACTGTATTTTAATTGGCCTTTTGCTTCTTTTCATTTTTCCAATTTGTATTATTTCTTAAAATCCTAATAAAAACATTTGACTTCTTTTTTCTTATAGGGTAAATCACAACCTGACTTTGGCCTTCCTTTTAATATTATCTGCTTAGAAGATGTTGTTTTATGATCTGACTCTATGTCTTCAGCCTTTCATTTGTTTACAACATCATGTCTGTGACATCCTGTCCCTCCCTACAACAAAAACAAATATGTTTTAAAAAATTGCTTAATGCTCATTATCTTTTTCGTGACTATTTCCAATGACTCTTCAGGCATAACTAATTGTTTTCTCATTTCTACAACTTTCTGCCTTTGAAGAATCCTTATTTAAAATATAAGCTTCTCAGGAAAGATTCGTATATTACCCTCCAGTTAGTTAAAGCTTAATGTTCTCAAAAACGAATTTGAGACATTGAATGAATCCCTGGGAGTTAGTAAGGGAGGTAGAAGGGGCTAAATTGGCCAACCTCCCACCCTCTGCAGACCTTCTTCCCTGACTTTAGCTTCTATGTCACTGTCTATTTTTCCAATTTAGAAAGTTTAAGATCAGTTTTAAATGTGTGTGTTTGGGCTTGGGGTGGCAGGATTCTCATCTCATAGAAAGATAACTGATTCTTAGCCAATCACCCAGCATCTCAACTTTGCCTGCTTCATAATCTGTCTGGCACAGCATGCTTAAGTAAAAGTCTTTAAACATCACTTTTTAAAAATCACTTTTTGCTCTACTGAGAAGCTTGCAAGAATTTTATATGTATAAACTCTGCTGGTTATACAATACCATAGTTCATATGATTTTAACCCCTTTTTTTCCCCATTACATCCTTCACCTTTTTTACACTTAATCCTCATTCTCTTTTTTATTTTACTATTTATCATGTTTCTAATGCCATAACTGTCTTTTGCTATCCCAAACCTTCCCATCCCACAGCTTAGGACATGAAGCGATTCAAATATGTTTGCCTAAATTTGTCTGCTACTTTTTATGTGTAACTCTTCCCTTCATAACTAAATAGAAAGCCCTATGAGGGCATGGACACTATTAGAAATTTTTCTGGCAAATTAAACCAAATTTATTCTACGTAGGCAAAATTTTAGGTTTCAATTTTTGTTAGTTGTTTAACTGTATATTTACAGTTACTGTCATTTTTCTTTATTAAAGTTATATGTTAGAAATATAAGAAAATCAATAATACACTATAATCTAGGTAATCTAAATTATATTCCTAGCTTCTGTCCTTGACTAGGTGTATGAAGGCAAGTTCTTTGACCTGCCTAAGATTCACTTTTGAATTCAGAATGAGAAAGATTAAATGAATCTATGAGACCTTTTCCTTTTACATAATATTCTTGAGTTCAGTTTTGATTATGTTTAAAATTTCTCATAGAAAAAATGTCAGCCAACTGTATTAAAACTAGCATAAAACTTTAGATTTGGAAACCAAAAATTGTTACCAAGGTAATATTTCTTTGAACTTTCTAAAATGCATTTATTTAATTTACTATACCTGGTTTATTTTAGACAGGTTACTTGATACTTATTGCTGTTATGCTGGTGTCTCGAACATATTGTGATGTTTGGATGATTCAAAATGGGACACTAATTGAAAGGTACTTTTTCATTCACCTTCCTCCTATATGTGTGAAATGCTAATTTGTCTCATATTTAAGCATTATCTTTATAAACAAGAAATAGATTCTAAATTAGGTAAAAGATACTCAAGTCAAATTATGTGTTTGTTCATTTACTTAAAAAATATTTGGTGTTTTCCATGTGCCAGGCAATGTGCTATACACTGTGATAGGGGTCTATATGCCACCAACTAGGAGAACTGTACCAAGCCTTGCTGAGCTGACAGTTTATGAAGAGTTCGAGACAAGTAGACAGAAAATTAAAATGCAGTATAATAAGTGTGGTAACGGGAGTTCTAAAAAAGCAGCAAGTTGGATTTTTGAAATTAATGAGATAATTTGGAGGAAAATTTCAAAGCACTTCAAGTAATCACATTGAGCATGTTTATTGGAAGGGAAAACAATTCTTTGACATTTCTGTCTGCATCTGCTGTTAGTGCTTTTTATATTTTTTTCATTATAGTCTTTCTACATGTTATTAATCACTGGAATTGCTAATTTTGAATGTAAAAACATCACAAATGGCAGTTGGGATATCTTGGGTTATAACCATTTACCATTTATCTGTTACTAAAGAATTTTTTTTTCATAACACTAATTTGCTTGTCAGAGTAAACATTTTTGCTGGGAATTTTATTTCCTGATATGTAATTTTTGTCAGAAGATTTCTTAAAATATTTAATCTAAAATAAGTTTTTGAATGACAGTACTTAAAATTGTTAAATGCCCCAACAATTTGAAATAAAGGTTTTTTTTGTCTTAGATTATTGATTTGCTTCTTAAAGATTTGTAGGAAGAGGAAGAATGCTTTATGACCATGCTCTCTAACTCATGTCTCTAGGACGGTAAAGAATCTTGTACATACATGGTTAAAACCCTGAAAGTATGTACCTCTGAATAGGGGTAAATTATGTAGGCTCTTATATTCAACCCAAGTTTTCCTGGTCAGTCCTGTGCCTTTTAATTTTAATCAAAGTAATATATGAACATAGCTTTAAAAATAATACATGAACATGGCTTAATGTTAAATAGTCCTACAGCATTAACGACAAAACACATCAATCTCTTGGCTCCTCTCACTCATAACTGTCATTATCTGGAGTCAGTCATTTTCTATTCTTTTTACTGTTTCATCTCTTATTTTGTGTCTGCATTTCCATATTGTATACTTGTATTACTGTTTATAGATTTCTCATTTTTAAAGAGGAAGTGTTTATTTCCTACTTTGGAAGGTGAGAATTAGCCCTTTTATACTTCCCCATGCTCATTTTCTCAATGTTTTATATATTTAATAAAAATTACATAACTTTTTAATTCAGAATGTATTGTTTACATGATTTTGACTGCTGCTTACAGCTCAGCCACATGGCATACTTTGATAGTACCTTTTCCATACAATTTTTTGTTTTTCCTTGTGTTTATAAATTACCAGTTATTATTTGTGCACATTAGTTTTTTTTTTTTTTTTTTTTTTTTTAACCTACTTCCCCCTAATTCAGCTTAAGCTTTTTGACAATAGGGTAAAATCTTCTCAGTATTGTAGTATGGTCAAACACAACTAATCTATCAACTTCATCTTTCTGTTTCCACCCCCACCCTATACATTTTGTAGTTTCCTGTCTTCTTGTTTTAATCAGGATTGGTTGCATTTTAGGCCCACTGAATAGCAATCATGTTTGAATTTGCTTTTATCATTATTTTGGGAATTTATTTCATCTTTGTATTCTGAATTAAATAACCTGTTTCTGGATTTTTTGTTTCTCTCTTCCTCAGTTTACTTTCTTGTTTTGGCAGATGCACTCTTTTTCTGAGTAAGGGTGGAAGGGAGATAAATTTTTGAGACCTTGTAGATCTGAAAATGTCTTTCTTCTAGTCTCATACTTGATTGATAATTTAACTATGTTTGTGTATTCCAAGTTGGAAATCACTTTTCTTTAGAATTTTGAGAGTATCACTCTGTTCTGGTCTCAGACTTGGCTGCAGAATGATTGGAATCGTCCGGAGAATTTTAAGAACTATGCATGTCTGGGCCCCACCCCTAGAGATTCTGATTCAATTAATCAAACCTTTTTAAAGCATCCAGTAGATTCTGTTGTGCAGCTCCAGGGTGGGTATTGAGGCCTCTTGCCTTTCTAATTGCTCAGCTGTAACTGGGATTTGTTCCTCCCTCAATCTCTACCTCAATCTTCTTTAAAAAATTGTTGCTGTTGCATTACTGGATGTTTGAAAATTTCACTGAACATTGGTATGAATTTTTCTTTTTCATTTATTGTGCTGGGCACTAGGTGAACTCTTTTTCCATCTGGAAACTTATTCTTTAATAAATTTTCTTGTGTTTAAAAAGAAATTATTTCTCTCCATTTTTTTCTGGATTCTTACTAGCTGAGTGTTGGCGCCCCTGGACTGATAATCTGATTATCTTATAATTTCTGTTCTATTTTTGTCTCTGCCATTTTATTTTATTTTCTAGGAAATTTCTTTAACTTTATTGTCTGGTGAATTTTTATTTGTTATAATTTTATTTCCAAGAGTTATCTTTTGTATGGATGTTCATTTTTATAGCAATCATTCTTTTAAGTATGCAATATTTTTTCACCTCTGAAGCTTATTTAATTTTTTTTTAATGTGTTTTTAGCTCCCTGCATTTTTTGTTTCCTTCATGGTCCTTTGTTATTCTGCTGTTTGTCATTCACATTAGATAGAGGCTTTCCTCAAGCATTCTATGACTCTTGGCTATGAATTCATATTTAAAAGTAAGTGCATTAAACACTTACTAGAAGCTGGAGTTGAGAGCTTGTTAATTGTTTGGTCTCCCTTGAAGGGTGTTTGTAGGGGAGCCTAGTCGAGCTCCTCTGTGTGTGTGTGTGTGTGTGTGTGTGTGTGTGTGTGTGTGTATACTCAGTTTTAAAATGTAATCATGAGATTAAAAAATTTTTTTTTCATTTTTTGTATGAGTTTCCGAAAAAAGTTTTTTAAACCATTATTTTGATATACTTTACACTTACAGAAAAGTTGTAAAATTAGAATAAGGGGCTGGATATGGTGGCTCATGTCTGTAATCTCAACACATTGGGAAGCTGAGGTGGGCCAAGAGTTTAAGACCAGCCTAGGCGGCACAGTGAGACCTCGTCTCTACAAAAAATAAAAAAGTTAGTTGGCTGTGGTGGCACGTGCCTGAGTCCCAACTACCCGAGTGGATGAGCAGTAGGATCACTTAAGCTTAGGGATATCTTGTCTCAACAACAACAACAAAAAAGATTAGTGTAAGGAACTTCCTTTTATTCTTAACCCACATTCACCAATTGTAAAATACTCATTTTAAAGTTATTAACTTTCTCCTGAATAAATAGTTTTGAGCCTCTGCTATGTATGAAATTCTTTATTTGGACCATGTCTCAAAAAGAAGTTTTAAAATATTATACATTCATACAGGATAATTTTATTTGAAAAGTTAACATATATTTCCATCTCACTATTTAAGCTACAGTGTAAATTGATTTATCTGTTTTCTCTTTTTGCCTTTTCTAAAGTCAGTCTAGATTCATGAATTTCTGCTAAAGAGAGCCTCAAAGAGACTTATTATGGTCCTTAATGTACTTCATTTTAATATTCTTTTCCTATTTTAAACTTATTTGTTATGGTGACTAATGACTGTGGAATATGGGAAAATCTTAATAGGAAAGACACCCTTTTTAAGGCAGAAACGGTACTAATTCTCTGACGTGGAGGAAAATTCTTCATACCCTGTTGCTGCTTTATCTAATCATAAAGATATATTTTATTTGCATCCGTTTGGCTACAAGCAGCATTTTAAAATTGCCAAGCTATCTTTTATAAAGATTCTTAAACATTTGGAAGTTACAGTGATAAGGTCTACTGTAAAATTGTTTTTTTGTTAATTATGTTTCTTTTGCAGTGGAATAATAAGCAGAAATAAGGCTTTATTCAAGAAACCATTTTTTAAATTTATAGCTGCTACTCCAATGGTAAACTGTTGCTGAATGATGGCATGTTCTTGTGTGTGTCACAGCTTGAGCAGCACTGAAGCACTTTGGCTTTATGTACTTTGGTTTGATTCAAACAATTTTAACATAAGTTCTCTGAACCTTTGGTACTATCTTATGATTGCTTAATGTCTCTAATATTGTTATAAACAACATTTTTGTGTGGTTGTATTTAATTTTCTTGTAGTTAGCCATTTTTGTTGTCAATTGTTTTGCTTTTTAGGGGTTACATAAAAATTGGAGTATTAATTTCTTTTAATCAGTCTAACATTTCCCAAAGTTTGTTCTGTGGAATCTTAGCTATGATAGAGGCAATGCTTCATGCAACAAACCCTTCTCAGAGAGTAAAAATGCACATACTATAAGTTAAAAGTTTTGAGAAGGTCTTTGGTAAAGACATTTGTTAGCTTTGTTTAACCTAGGGTTTCCCAAATTTATTTATCTATTCCCTCAAAGAAAGGAAATTATTTATCTTGTCATATATATACTAGTCATTTTTGTGTGTATATGGGCAGCTAGGTTTAAACCAGTTAGTCCAGTGTTTCTCAAATGTTTTATATAAATATACCTTATGAAATTTGGGAATATTATTAAATATTATTTGAAAAAAGAGTTCTGTGATCAAATAGATTCTATTGTGTATTAGATCATAGACATATCTTACTCAAAGATCCTTTACTTACAATGCTTTGTTCAAAATTTTAATAAAGTTTTGGAACCTTTTTAAAAAAATGTTAATGTATATTTTAAAAGCAGAAAATAAATAAAACAGATGATCAATTTAGGCAAAAGCGGAGCTAGTCTAATTTAAGTGTGTTGAGGGACATGAAGCTTCTATAGATACATTCTGGGGCTCTAATCTATGCATTAGTCCCAGTGTTGGCAAACTAGGACTCACAGGTCAAATCTTACTACCTGCCATCTGTTTTGGTAAGGTTTTATTAGAATATAGTCACACTTACTCTTGGCTGCTTTTGTTTTACGGTGGCAGAATTGATTAGTTGCAACAGAGTCCTATAGGGTCCACAAAGCCTAAAATATTTATTCTTGACCCTTTGCTCATCCCCATTAGTCTGTCTCCCTGCCATTAGTTCATACAAATGAGAATCAAATTTTTAAAATATTTTAAAACAAATACTACTTTGTTTATTCATAATAATGCATTCCTGGGGCTATAAAGTTGTTAATTGTTTTGCTATCTAAATTTCTTTTGTAGCCACTTAAGCCTTTTTTTAAAGTGGCCATTTTTACTAAGGAAATAGTTATCATTCTGTTTAATTTTGCCATTTGCAGGATGAGGTTCAAGCAAGTTCAAAATGATTTCATTTTAAAGTTGCAAACATATTTTTGCAAAAAAAGTGTTTTTTTAAGAATCTTTTTAAATTGATTACTTTGATTTAATAGAAGTTTCCAAGAGTAATTTTAGAGCTTTACAGAAGTTTTCCTAGTGGTAGATTTTGCTTCTTTTGCAACTAATGCATGCATGTGGTGGTTTGCAGTGGTATCATTGGTCGTAGCAGGAAAGATTTCCAGAGATACTTATTCAACTTCATCGCTGCCATGCCTCTCGTAAGTTTAATTCATTAAAAATCTTTTAACACGGGAAATTTGCATCTTATTAAAATCTTTAAGGGTTTTTACTTATCAGATTCTTTAAAAATTTATGATACAAACTTCCTATTTTGTTTAGTTTTGTAATTTATCGTATAATTTTCAATGTAAATATTTATACTAGATGAAAGAATTGTGTTTGGTTTAATTTCATTTATAATGTACATATATTCATATACATATGTATGTGGGTGAGGGGTTATTTGGCATTTTTTATTAAACCTTCAGTTTAGGTTTTCTTCAGTTTGTAGCAGCATCCCATTAGATAGCAGTAGCACCCTTCTCATAGTTGTAGCAACCAGAAATATTTCCAGTCATTGCAAGTGGATACAGGTCGGGTGCAACTTGGGGAGTTGGGGGAGATTTGGAGAGGGGAGTGCAAATCATCCTGGTTACTTCAGGCCATAAACTATTATAGTAACTTGAAGTAATTTAGTTTAAGTTAAATTGGAATTTATGGTCTGAATTTCTTACAGATAAATTGTTAAGTGTAAAATATAAGTGATTATCTTAGTTTGGTTCTCATTTTAATCTTGGCATTTTAAGAATTTAATGTTCTAAATTTGCGGGTAAAAATGAGAAAATCCAGTTAGATTGAAATTGTCAGAAATTCTTGTTTAATATAGCTGGACAATGGGGCTACATAGTTTTTAGACTTTTTAAAATAATTTAAATAAGCAATATAGGTATCAAAGATTAAGATTCAGCAAAGACCACTTGAGAAAATTTTTAATATAACAATGGAAAATGTTAGTAAAGATGGCTGTAGAAGTAATCTGGAAAATAGCGTAAGTTGGTGTAGAACCTGTAGTATTTTTTTTTACAAATGCAAATGTAATATTGGGGTTTAGGGGTTCAGGGTACCTTCAGCTCCCCTGAGAGGATGCTTCTCCAGGTTCTTGGTCTCCTGCCCTCTCAAGAATGAAAGAGGGACCACAGTGTGCAGTGAATGCCGGACTCAAAAGTGTTTGTAGAAAGAGAGAAAAAGCAGAAGGAGAGAGAAACAGCGAACTCTCACACTGAGTGAGAGAAAAGAAAAGCTGCTCTCACGCTGAGTGAGAAGGGTTCCCAGAGGGGGAAAACCAGAGAAGGAAAGCTCCTCTCACACTGAGTGAGAGAATCCAGAAAAATGGAAATTCAGGAGAGGAGAGCAGCTTCCACACTGAGGGGAAGAGAATAGAGAGAGAGATGGCCTTTAGGAGGGGAAGAAAGGCTTCCACAAAAAGAGTGTGGAAGGGGACTCCAGAGGGGAAATCCATGAGAGAGAAAGATGGCTTCCACGAATGGAGTGTTCATGGAAGGGGAACCAAACATGGAGGCTGAAGGGATGTGGAAGAAGAGGACTTTTAACCTGGGAGGAACCCCTTCCAAACCCCAGACCAATGAAAGGAGTTCCTTAGAACTTCTGCTGTAGTGATTGACTTTTGATTCTTCTCGCGCCCTTGAAAGTTAAATCTCCCCAGTGGAGAGAGATGGGAGGAGGGCGTGGTTCTGGGCAAGAAGTTCTTGCCTTAGAAACTACCTACCTCCTGGACCCAGTAAGAGAATACATTCCCTCATTGATACAGTGTATACAGAATTCCATTGTCTAGGTTTGTAGTGTTGATAGTAAGAAACAGAAGGTATAAACCTAAATGTCTGAACTCCTAAAAGCAAGTCTTTACATTGGCTAGAAAGGGGATAGATTTGACTTTTTGCCTATTTACCAAAAAGATGGCAAGATACATCTCATAATTAGTGATATTAACATATTCCATGTAGAGTTTAACATAGAATAACTCAAACCAGGTACATTAGGTTTTGCTAAATGCAGTAAAGTAAAACAGCTGAATTTTATCAATTTGGATTCAGTTATAAAAATTATAGGATTTGGGACACAGGAAATATAATAGCAAAATAAATTATAATTTAGTAAGTAGAAATGAAGCATAATCAATATTATTTGTTTGTTTGTTTTAGATCTCTCTGGTTAATAACTTCTTGAAGTATGGGTTAAATGAGCTTAAACTGTGCTTCCGAGTAAGGCTCACTAAATACCTCTATGAGGAGTATCTTCAGTAAGTGATAACCTATTTTTATATTAAAAATACTTAAATAGAAGAATAGTATTTATGAAGCTGATCAATATGATGGTTTTTGTATTTATTTATTTTAAGAAAACCGCTCTTTGATACAGAAGCATATTGGGAACTGGCTCTTCCATTAATTGACAAGTCATCTTTATTTTCTCGACTTGTGTCCTCCTCTCTAAAATCAATTAGGGCAATCAATAGGATCTCCTCTGGCTCCAAACTCCTTTGTTTCTATGTATTTGAGCTAGGTGGTGTAATATGAATTTTTTTTGTTTTGCCTTTAAAATCACTTGTTTTAAAATCACTTTCTTCTTGCTATTTTAGAGCTTTCACATATTATAAAATGGGAAATCTGGACAACAGAATAGCTAATCCAGACCAGCTGCTTACACAAGATGTAGAAAAATTTTGTAACAGTGTAGTAGATCTGTATTCAAATCTTATTAAGGTAAGTTTCTCTACTTTTTAAAAGATTATTTGTTTAATTAGTTTTGAATCTAAGCATATTTATATAGAATTGATTTTATGGACAGAACAGCAGGATGTAAATATTTAATGCCTTTGTAAGAAAATTAAGAGTTGTTATAATAGTTTTAATTATAATTATTTAATTTTTAAAATTATTTTTGTGAGGTACTTTGGCCAATAACTGGTAATTTAGTGTCTTATAAGGATTTTCTAAGAATTTTGCAGGTTGACTCCATTAAAACAACAGACATTTGAATTATCATCTTTTAACTTGTGTGCGCCCAGCCATTCTTAGATATTGACTGTCAATTTATGTTCCTAATTCCACATTTATAACACTAGACTAGGACTTCCTTCGGCCTGTTTCTCTGCTTCAGTATCTCTAATTCTAATAGATCATTAGTAAGTAGTAGTCAAAAAATTTCACAAGATGCAAGTGTATTTCAGTTTTCTAATTACTGTTTTTCCCCATCTCAGAATATTGCCAAAGCTCCTGACTCTGATAGGCTTTAACCAGTTTTCCTTCTTGCTGATTTCTCCAGTTCTTGTCTTAGTCATGTTATCCACCCTTACAGCTTTTGCAGTAGTCTTCTTATTAAACCCTCATCTACCTTTTGCATTGACTAGGATATGTAGTAGGCTCCTATAAAATAGTCTGCCCAGCATCTCCTCCCCTTTTCATCTGAAATGCTTCAGTTCCCACTCCAACTCATGTGACTTCCCTTGGTCTTGGGTAGGAGCTTGTCTCATAGTGGACGACCAATGATGGTATCTTTGCCTCTGGTCGCAGTTGACTTAGATATACAGTTTTGAAATATATATATATATATTAACATTGTAAGAATAGGAATGTTCTTGCTTCAACCAGGTGGATGGAGGGAAGGCAATTCTTAGAGAGATATATCCACAAGAGCTGCTCTCCTCATGCCCAGGCCCACTGCTTTCCACTTCCAACCAAAATTTGTTATTTATTTAGCTCTCCAGAGCCTTTGCTAACTAATCCCAAACTCAGGAACTCTGACAACTACAAATAATTCAGTAATTCATCTTTTTTTTTCTGTTCCCATTACCACATTTGAAAGTTTGTTCTCTCTCTCTCCCTCCC